TTTATTTCTTTCACCTTCACATGAAATTTGAGAGATTGGCATTATTTTCTCATTTGATAGGTAGAATAACTCAAGAGTTACAGTCCTTGCTGCGCAAGCGCACGGACCCAAGTTCGATCCCTGGTACCAAAAAAAAAAAAAAAAAAGAAGAAATAGAAAAATATTTGCTTGTTACCTTATCTTATTTTACTTAGTGAGCAGAAACCAACATGTCAGGGTGGGAGTCTTACTATAAAGCCGAGGGCGATGAGGAGGAAGAGGAGGAGGAGAGCCCTGATGTAGGTGGTAAGTGACTTTAATGTTTAGTGCTGTCCTGTGTGTAGCAGAAATACCTTAACTGCCGCTGTCTGTTGTATGGCCCACCTTTCTCTCCCCACATAATCTGAAATACTTTTCTCCCTTTGAGCTTTGCAGAGCCAGCCTGGCCTCTTTTATTTATGTCTTGGTCTAGTCTGTGGGACATTGCTAGCCTTACATTTTTTCTGGTTACTAGAAGGTTGACATCTGTTGAATTCCAGTAAATGAACCTGTTCGGGGGTATCCTTTGTCACCTTATGTGGCTCAAGTAAGACCCTTTGTCACCCGAGAAAGGAGTTTTACTCATTCCAGGACCTCTATAAAAATGGTTTCACTCTACATTAACTAACTGCAGCCATGGAAGAGTAAACATTAGTGACACAGTTTAGGATAGCCTTTGGGTTTGGCAATTAGTAACATAGGGCAAAGGAAGAGAAATAAAGGGTACATGTAATCTATATTCTGGTTAATTTCATTCCTGAGTAGAATATTTTGAAGTGTTTTTTATTAAAAGTGAAAAACAGGAAACAAAAAATAAAACTTACTGTAATCTGTATATCTACCACCCTAACATAACTACTACCATCATTTTGTATTTTTATTTCTTTTTACTGTCTATATTTTGCACATGCTAGGTGAGATCTCTGCCTACGTCTCCAGTCCTTTTTATTTTGAGACTGCTTCTTGCCAAACTGCCTCAGTTCAGCTTGAATTTGCAATCCTCTTGCCTCAGCCCTTTGAATAACTAGAATTACAGGTGTTCACCATGCCAAGCTGTCTTTTTAATTTTTGCAATGGGGTCTCATTATTATAATGTTTCCTAGGCTGGCCTCAGACTGCTGGGCTCAGGAAAGACTTCTGCTTCAGCCTCTGTAGAACTATGGGCATGACCACCATTCCCAGCTTCATTTCGGCATTTTGAATATTTCCTTCATCTAATTTTCAGTCTTTATTTCTTAAATACACACACACACACACACACACACACACACGCACAGACACGCACACACGTTTTTCTGGGCTGGGGATTTAGCTCAGTGGTTTCGATGCCTGCTGCATAAGCGCAAGGACTAGAGTTTGATCCCTGGTACCAAAAAAAAAAAAACAAACACACACACGCACAGACACGCACACACGTTTTT